CCTCTTTTCTGTACCTGTCACCTATCAGTAGCTGTACGTTCTGAAAGAGCAATAAACCCACATTCCAAACTGGCAGGTGCAAAAACAGCCTGGGCTGCAAGGGGAGATAGCAACTGTTAGCAAGTAAGCATTCTCCCTGACCTGGGCTTCAAGCGAATGGCAGTGCAGGCAGCAGATGACCAGAGTCCAGTTTTCATCATGTGGTTAGAGATCCAGAAGTAGCCATGGAAGTAGCCATGCAGAACATGCGTGCTAGAGTGGACTTCCAAAGCCATGTAGCCCTGATTGGCCTGCCCACAATGAAACGGTCATCACCATGGCAGATGGCACTGCCAAAGCCAAAATGGAAAAGGCAGAATACTGTCAGCCCCTACCAAGAGCTACGTGAGTAACTGTGGTGTGTTGCAAAACATCCACAGGAACTGCAGCTGTGTGATCCTGGTCCCAGGAGCACTGCCCACGCAGGGAGATACCCGTAGTGCTCTTATCCTCAGAGATAATAACAATAATACAAGTAATAAAAATTATGGCCACACAAAACCCCTTGTTGGCATAAGCAGCAGAAAACTTGTAATAAACCCAGTAGTGACTGAACTAGCAACAAACAAATGGCAGGATTCATCTCTCATTCCTAGTTCAAGTCAACCTTATTTCCTGCACAGAACTAGCAATATTTTTAAAAAGCATTGAAGCCATGGTTGTAAGAAGCCCACAAAAGCCCCAACAAGCGTCATGGAAAGGCTCCATGAGGCATTTCTGCAAGTAGATGCCTCCGTGAAAGGCAGGTGTCTGGTTCCTCCTGCAGGCCAAGCCAAAATGGCCCTGGAGGGCGGTGACCAGAGGGGAGGGGAACGCTCGCAATGGCCTAAAGTGGGCAACAAGATCTCAACACTTGACCACGTCAGTGGCAAAATGTTCCGTAAAGCATGCCAGATCATATCCCCATCCAAAAAAATGGATTGGAAGAAGACAGACATTACTTAAAAATCAAATCAGCTAAGGATGATTTTAATCCACTTCAGGTCTGAGTGGAGGATAAGATGAAGGTGACATCATGAGACATGGCAAAAAGAAGTGCTTACTGGGGTACATTGATATTGTGATCAGGAACAAGTGAGGAGAAGTCCTTTCCCTCCACTTATGAGCAACCTAAAAGGTAGGATGGAAATATTTCAAGTAAAGTGGAGCTTAATTCGCCAAGTCAAATGTACCTGGAATCATAAACTGAGCTAAAGAGCCTCGCTCTAAAACATTTTCTGAGCCTTGTTGACTTCCAGCTGTGTGAACTTCAAACCTCAGAATTTCTCAGCCAGGATGGTCATTGCTGAGAATTCTGGGAGTTGAAATTCACACAGCTGGAAGTTGACATGGTTAGGAAACACGCTCTAACAAAAGGATTACAGAAATTGAGGGAATTGAAGATAACATAAGGGCTAGTAGTGAAGTGTGATGCCCCTTTTTGGAATAACAACTTATCTTCCTCGGTGCTGGCATTCCTGGGTATCCAACTTGCCTCAGGATGACGTTTGTTCTGTGCTGAATTGCCTAGAGTTCTCAACAGGTGTTACTCATACCATGCCAGTTTACCATGCATATATTTTCCCCCTTGGGAAGCAGATGTTTTTTTGCTTAAGCTGCCCAATATCAACAAGCTGGGTGTTGCACACAGACTCTGTGGGGCCAGGTTCCACTAAAGCTTTTGCTGTCTCTGTTCGTCTTGGCACTGGCTTTGGTGGGGCAGGTATTACTATCCCTGTAAAAAATTAAAAGTGTCCTAAATAGCTGAAAGAGGGATAAATTAGTTGTTACCAGGGCAGTAAAAACGGAGGCACTTTCTGTTTCAATTCTGTTGAAACTGAAAATGTTGTTCTGTAATGTTTTATTATAGCATAAACTTTTAAAAACAGAGCCCATTCTTGTGTATTACATTCATTGTAAATTAAAAGTGTGATTGCACACAATAGATTTGTAGATTAAATGCAAGTTTAAAAAAGGAACTTAAATGTTATATTGCATCTTATACACTTAGCCTTCAGATTTTGCTGAATCTTGTCCTGCTTTCTTTTACTATTTTTTTTTTCAGGAAGCAGGCTGGATTACTGAAAGACCATTAGCGATACTCTAGGGTTTAGTATAATTTAATTTTCCTCATTTCCCTGGACATATAGTGAAAAAAACTAGTTATTGCTAATCCAAACTGTTCTCCCTAGAAATTGCAGAACTTACTTATAGAGGGAACCTTGCTTGATTGTCCTAGAAAAGGTCTTCTGCTCTGGTCCTGCACCTTTCCTTTGTCATCATTTATTTCAGGGAGGCTCAAATGCTTTCCATAAAAAGTGATATAGCAACAAAATAAATAAATAAATAAATAAATAAATAAATAAATAAATAAATAAATAAATAAATAAATAAAGTCTTCTTCTCCACCCCTGAAATAGGGATGGCATTGTTGCCACTGGAAGAAGAAACAAGGTAACAGCATTATGTGCTGGGCATGCTGGCTACTGTAGTCCTACATATCAAGGGTACCAAGTGCAGGCTTCCAGATGAGGTTATCACCATGCAAGTGCCTTTCTCATTTCATAGGGACTCCAGATGTCACCTTCATTGTGGGATTTTACCATGCTTTCCCATTGCTCTTGCTTTCCTTTTTATTCCGCCCCAAAAAACCCCATATTCCATATGAAAAAAGAAAGATGGTTCCTTAGGAGACCAAAGAGTGGTTATCTGAACGTTTCTTTGACTGAGTGCTCAACATATGTCCAAAACAACACAGAAGCCTCGGCAAAAGCCATTGTTAGCAATAAGCATCCTTGAACTTTTGGTATTCACTTAAGTCAACATCTCATGATTTGCAATATACCTTTGTGGTGACGGCTCCTGCTTGCTTCTTTCCTAGCACAACTCAGGTATTAACTCTTTAACTCTTCAGATTTTCTCTCCTCCCCCAAACAATTTTGCAACATCCGGGGATGAAGTACCCCACTATCCTCAAATCAGTAGACAAATTGATCTGCATGCTGATAGGCAAACATGCTCCTCCCTGCCCAAGTAAAAAACAAAAAACAAGTTTAAGTGCGCATCTTAATTGCACACTAATTCTTGCTCTTCACTTGACAGTATAGAAAACAATTAGTTAAATAAATCAACTTCCTTTTTGACTCAGCATGTTTCCTCTATACTTCATCGCTGGCAACTGTAACTGGGTGTCTTAACATATTCTTAGATATATAATCCAAAACATTGCATGCAATGTTCATTTTTACAATTATTTTATAACATTTCCCTTATTAATAGAGGTAAAGATGTGCAGCTCATGGTTGAACTGTGGAGTCCTTGGGGTTCTCTGAAAGGATAACATTGCAATACATCAGAAACATCTCAGGAACCACCAACAGACTGTTAAAACCACATGGCATCTCTGTAGCACACAAACCAACTAAAGCCCTCCAAAATATCTTAAGTAAACCAAAAGACCCAGTAGCCCAAGAAGAAAAAACAGGAGTCATCTACAACATACAGTGTAAGGACTAACAAATACTATGTAGGACAGACAGGCAGAAGGCTAGCAGAGTCCACCCATGAACACCAACTAGCAGTCAGAAGACATGGTGTAAACTCCCTAACCTCACAACACATGGACAGACTGAACCATACTTTTAACTGGGAAACGGTCAGCATTTTAGACCAAGCTAAATCCAAAAATGCGAGGGAATTCCTGGAAGCTTGGTATTCAGACAAGGCACATAGAGATAAACATTTACACACTATTCAAAAGAG